TTGAGTTCCTGCAGGAAATGGATTCTGAGGGGTAAACTATGAATTCAGGAGGTCTTACTGGGAATTGGTTTGGGGAACACCTGTGAGGGAGGAAAAGCCAGAACAACAGCCTTCAGCCAATCCCACACAGAGCTCAGAAGTTGTGATGGCCCTTCAGGGTTGTCCCAAGGGAGGCAAGGGGGCCTGACCTATGTACTTCCACACAGAATGATGATTGGGTATGGGCTACCCCAGGGATGGACACACCTGTGGCAAAGCAGCTCCTTGCTCCGGTGCTGAGCACAGCTCCTGGAGCAGGATAAGACTATGACCGCTTGGCAGACAACACCTCCAGCAGCCAATGAAAGAGAGAACTTCATACCTCAGGGGGGGGGCAGGGTGTGGACCTGGGCAACTGACCACAGCATCCATTACATTATCTGTGAGTAAAATTCACTCCAGGAAATGTCATATTTATATGTCGTTGTAAATGCTTCCTGGCATATTGCTGTACTGTTGGACCATAGGTCCCCAGAAATACAAGTACTTCAGTTTGGAGGCCACAGCAGAGACACTGGGAACCCATCGAGAGGGAGTGAAAAGATAAACCAAATGAGGAAGAAACTGGAGCAGAAATAACAGTTGAGAGACCTATTGTAATCAACTTTAGTAGTAGCCACAGGAATCAAGAAAAAAAGATAAATATTTTCATCTTGCCAAAGATCACCCATCTTCTACTATACCATACTGAGTTTGTCTTGCTTTCTGTTGTTTGGGTCCTAGAAGAGCTAGAGACCATTGGAAATTAAAATTAACATTTAAAGTATTATTTGTCTCTGGGGTACAGATGTATAATTCGTCAGTCTTACACAATTCACAGCACTCACCATAGCACATACCCTCTCCAATGTCCATCACCCAGCCACCCCATCCCACTCATCCCCCTCCACTCCAGCAACCCTCAGTTTGTTTCCTGAGATTAAGAGTCTCTTGTAGTTTATCTCCCTCTCTGGTTTTGTCTTGTTTCATTTTTCCTCTCGCTTCCCCTATGATCCTCTGTCTTGTTTTTCTGACTTATTTCACTTAGCATAATACCCTCTAGTTCCATTCACGTCATTGCAAGTGGCAAGATTTCGGGGGTTTTGATGGCTGCATAATATTCCTCTGTGTGTGTGTGTGTATGTGTACACCACATCTTCTTTATCTATTCATCTGTTAATGGACATCTAGGCTCTTTCCATAGTTTGGCTATTGTGGACATTGCGGCTATAAACACTGGGTGGGGTGCACGTGCCCCTTCAGATCACTGCATTTGTATCTTTGGGGTAAATACCCAGTAGTGCAATTGCTGGGTCGTAGGGTAGCTCTATTTTCAACTTTCTGAGGAATCTTCATACTAGGTGTCCAGAGGAAATTCACCTCCTTAAATCTCTTTTCTTTTGCTATTTTAATTATAAAAAGCTAGAAAGAACATACTTCTAGTCAAAAGAATAATATATACCTTAAGTCATTAATTGTTTTTTGGGATAGAGCCTGGATTAGAGTCCTCAGAGGAACAAAATAAATGTGTGTGTGCCTCTTCTTTTGGTTTCCTTTCTGCTCAGCTCTGATTTCAAAATATGAATATTTGATGAAGATTGTGGGCTTGGGTTGAAAACCGTGGCTTTAAATCATCAGAGATTTTTTTAATGACCACTAATAATCCCTAGCAAAAAATTAGGTATTTTGATTATCAGAAATACTGTGCATACCAGGACATCTGGTATGTCTTTAGACCAAAAAGAAAAAGCAAAAACTCCTAACTTAGTAATAATGATTATTATTCAGATTTTGACATAATATTTTACCAGATGTTAAGTGCCCATGATCTGCAAAGCCCAGTTACAGTTCGTAAACTCTGTTCTTTTATAATAATCAATTCATAAATACCAATTTTTGCAAAAGTGAAGTACAGCTTTATCCAGCTGTTTTCTAAGACTTTTCTAAACCATTGGGGGTCAGCATCAGGACACTTAACTTCCCAACAGGACCATTCATCTGGTGCCTCTTTCACACTTATTACTTCATGTCTGAGACCCTGATGCCACTTCTCCCTGCTTCACTCTGCTCCATCCCACCTGCAGGGAGACTATAGTCATGTCATTTAGCCTCAGTTGTGAGTCCAACCACAGCAAGGGTTGTGCTTGGGGCTAAATGTTGGCTGCTTAAAGCCTTAACACTTGTTAACTGTCATTATTTCCCCACACCCTGCTGTAGCCAAGAGCTGCAGCCAGGACCACTGGAAAAGAGCAATGCTCTGGAATGGGGCTGGGGCCGTACAGAAAATTTAGTGGTACGTTTTTGGAGTTGCTTTCCCCAGAGGCTGTAAATGCAAGGTCCTGCTATTTAACTGATTTTATATATATATATATATATATATATATATATTTTTTTTTTTTTTAAGATTTTATTTATTTATTTGAAAGACAGAGATCACAAACAGGCAGAGAGGCAGGAAGGGAAGCAGCCTCCCTGCTGAGCAGAGAGCCCGATGCAGGGCTCGACCCCAGAACCCTGGGATCATGACCCGAGCCGAAGACAGAGGCTTTAACCCACTGAGCCACCCAGGCACCCCAAACTGATTATATTTTAAATACAACAACATTGTGATATAGATGGTAATACCTTCCTCTTAACGGTGGGGAAACACAGACCGAAAGATGGTAATGTAGCATGACTCAGGAGTGCTGGGTATCTCATTACATAATCTCAAGCAAGAAACCTGGCTTTGTTTTAAAATACAGTTTCCCCTGCTGTCCAAAAGTTCTCATTATGCCGCTTCACTTTTATAGAAAACCTATATTAGGAAAGACCTACATTAGGACGGTAATGGTTTTTTCCTTAAAAGCCAAATTTCTTTGGATTTCTTTCAGCTAGCCAACACAATGTAGGTTTTAGTGTAGGTCTTCAGTTGAAATGAAGTGGCTTACATGAACTTTCAGAAATCGGAAGATACCTGTAATCATGGAAACACATTCTGAAACAAGTAAAAGTGTTCCTCCCCTGACTAATTTCTTTCGTAGCAAGAGAAGAAATAATGCATTATTTATACCTCATTTTCTTCAAATGTTCAGAGTGATTTTATTCTTTGTATATTAATACTCCTATACATTATTAAGTACAAAAAAAGAGCAGGTGGTATTATTCTCATTTTGCAGAAGATCAAGCAGATGTTGAAAAGCCAAAAATAAATGGTTTAGAAATGTTTTCTATGAAGCATTCATTATTTTCATATAAATTAAAGTAGGTTTCATATAGTACATTTAAACTCAGTCCACATGCATTCGGGAAAATAAGCTCAACAAAAAGTATACTAGAGTTGATTTATTGTGAGTAGGAATTAGGTATAACACAAACTGGTAATCAATAAGTGAATAGACATTTTACTTATCAAGATTTTCTTAAAATTGCAAATGTTGGATTAATGCAGTTTCATAAGGTATAACATTATGTATCAACTATACTCAATTAAAAAAATTAAAAATTAAGCAAAAAGGGTCCAAACTTGCAGTTATAAGATGAATAATTTCTGGAGATTTAATGTACAACATGTTGACTTTAGTTAAAAATATTGTCTTACATGCTGGAAAGTTGGTGAGAGTAGATCTGAAAAGTTCTCCCCACATACACAAAAAGGTAATTATATGAGGTGATGGAGGTGGTAATTAACCTTATTGCACTAACAATTTTTGCAATATATACATGTATCAAATAAAAAGCATCTTATATATTAAAATTTATTCATGAAATTATTTTACAAATATATATGGAGCGTAAAAAGTACCAGTGCTTACATCAGCCACTGAGAATAGACTTTTGTTTCATGAAACCTAGGGGGAAGGCACACACAAATGTAAAATAACAGTGTGATAAGGGCTAAAGAGGAAGGTGTACAGTGCTATATGCCATTGTACAATAGGAAGATTTGGCTTAGTTGAGGGGGAAGGAAGGGCTTTCCTGAAGAATTGGTGATTCTTTTGAGCCTAATATCTGAAGAAAGAGCAGAAACTTTTCATTACTTAGGAAATGAAAGAGACCAGGCATGGGGGTGAGGGGTGAGGAGAGGAGAGCATCCAGGGCAAGACCACATCAGAAATGAGGCAAAAGATGGCCACAGTTGCCAAACTGTGGAAAGAACCAAGATGCGCTTAAGTGGATGAATGGATAAGGAAGATGTGGTCCAACATACACTATGGAGTATTATGCCTCCATCAGAAAGGATGAATACCCAACTTTTGTATCAACATGGATGGGACTGGAAGAGTTTATGCTGAGTGAAATAAGTCAGGCAGAGAGAGTCAGTTATCATATGGTTTCACTTATTTGTGGAGCGTAACAAATAACATGGAGGACATAGGGAGATGGAGAGGAGAAGGGAGTTGAAGGAAATTGGAAGAGGAGATGAACCATGAGAGACAATGGACTCAAAAACAATCTGAGAGTTTTGAACGGGCAGGGGGTGGGAGGTTGGGGGAGCCAGGTGGTGGTTATTACGGAGAGCACATATGGCATGGAGCACTGGGTGTGGTGCATAAACAATGAATTCTGTTACACTGAAAAGAAATTAGTAAAAAAAAAAAAAAAAAAGGCAAAAATTAGGTAACGTTTAAATTAAAAGATCTGCAGGGGAGATAAAAAGAAGAGGGCTTAGGTTATATGGAGGGAGTGATATCTTTGAGATTTAATGGTGGGTTGAATATGGAGGTTGAGGGAGAGGGCTGTGTCATTACCACTTAGGGGTGCAAGTTAATGTGGTGACAAAGTTAGCTACAAGGCCTAGAAGGAAGTTTGAATGAACAATCTCAGTTCATCACTCTGTAATATTGTATTTATTCTAGTCTATTAACTGAAATCTACAGAGAAGTAGATTCTGTACTATCTGCTTTAATATACTTTGTTTGAAGGTATCTGTTAGAAATTTTAATTTGGGAAGCTAGCTTAATGCAATTTTTATCCCTAAATGTTTTTATTTTAATTGGTAGAATCTTAAGAAGATTCAAGAAATGGAAAAAAGTGATGAATCCAGCACAGACCTGGAAGAGCTGAAAAACGCTGACTGGGTAAGTATTTGGATATTCTCTGTTCTACTTAGTGTTGAAGACATAGTGTAATGTGTTTTTTGGGGTTTTGTTTTGTTTTTTAAAGATTTATTTATTTATTTTGGAGAGGGAGAGTGCACGAATGGTGGGGGAGGGACAGAGGGACAGAGTGGGGAAGCAGACTCCCCAGTCAGCAGGAAGCCCATCACAGGGCTCAGTCTCAGGACCCTGGGATCCTGACCTGAGCCGAAACAAAGAGCTGGATACTTAACCAACTGAGCCACCCAGGCACCGCCTAGAGTAATGTTTTTTAAGGTGCTTGTTACTGGGGTGTCTGGGTAGCTCAGTCACTTGAGCGTCTGCTTTCAGCTTGGGTCATAATCCTAGGGTCCTGGGATCGACCCCCACTTCGGGGTCCCTGCTCACTGGGGAGCCTGCTTCTCCCTCTGCCAGTCGCCCTGCTCGTTCTCCCTCTCACTCTCAAATAAATAAAATCTTTAAAAAATAAAATAAAATGCTTGTTATTAAGGGCTGTAATATGAATTGATACTGTATGAATTTGAATATCTAGTCTTATGTTTGAGGAACTGTCTATCCCCCATTTTACAAAACTAATTGGTTTTATTAAAGCAGCCCCGGATGTCTTCTGAGAATTTAGGTGTTTCAAAATGCTGACCTTTCTAATTGTATTAACACTTTAGCATACTCTTATAAGTTGAGTTTAAGCTCTGTTTCAGAATAAGATGTGAAACTATAAGGTAGTACATTCATTTATCTGATGAATAGTTACTGGCTCTCTGCCCTCATAAAACAGAAGACAGACTTTCAGCACAGATGATTGCAGTATATTTATGTGACACACTTTGAATAGCTGCTGTTTTTCTGGCATGATTCTAGATCCTAGTGAAACCAAGACTCCCTGCCCTCATATATCACTTAGAGTTGGGTGGGCACGACAGCACTGAGGACGGGAGAGTCAGTGTCATGAAATTAGACTGAGGTATGTTCAGGTGTCAGTGGGAAGCCACAGTTCAGGATTCTGACTTTTCAGGTTAAGGATAAACAGTGGTTTAATAATGACATCATTAAATGAGGAACTAGGCATAGAAGCAGATTTGAGGATATGAACAGGTTGCTTTTGACATATTACGTTTTAATTAATTGTTTTATTCTTTTCTAACAGCTTTATTAAAGTATAGTCAGCGTGCAATAAGTTGCACATATTTAAAAGGCACAATTTGATAAGTTTCGATATGTTCACACACACATACATACCCATGAAACCATCACCATAATCAAAATAATGAGCTCACCCATCACCCATCATCCCCCAAAGTTTCCTTATACTCCTTTGTAATCCTACTTCCTGCTTCCCTTCTCCCCAGTTTCTAGGCAATCAGTGATCTGCTTTCTCTCACTGTAGATTAGTTTGCATTTTCTAAAATTTCATATAAATGTAATCACATAGTATGTACTGTTTTTTGCTTGGCTTCTTCCATTCAGCATAATTCTTTTGGGATTTCATCCATGTTGGTGCCTATATCAATAGTTTAATGTTTTTGTTACTACTAGTAGTCCCTTCTGTTGTATGGACCTACATGTATTGATATATGAATGTAAATATTCTTAATTTATTGATTATATCTTTACTGAGATATTTGGAATGATATTAATCTGAAACATTTAAGAGTAAGGTTAAAAAACAAGTAGCCTGTAATATCTTATGAGTCTTGTAATTTTAGAATAATATTGATTATCAAGTTTCCTTTGTATAGAATACTCTGGTAGTCTTTTTCCAGCTGTATTTCATCTTAGCTAATACATTTTTAAATTTGTTTTCTTACACATGGAAGCCAGATGAATTAACTCCAGGTAGTCAGAATTTAGCAAACAGTTATAAACTTGAACTAAAAATTTATTGCCTTAAGGCAGACTCTTTTAAAAACTAGTAGGATCACTGGGCGCCTGGGTGGCTTAGTGGATTGGGCCACTGCCTTCAGCTCAGGTCATGATCCCAGGCTTCTGGGATGGAGTCCCGCATCAGGCTCTCTGCTCAGCAGGGGGCCTGCTCCCCCCCCCCCGCCCCCACCCCGCCCTGCCTGCCTCTCTGTCTACTTGTGATCTCTCTCTGTCAAATAAATAAATAAAATCTTTTAAAAAAAAATAAAAAATAAAAAAATAAAAACTAGTAGGATCACTGACAAGAGATACACTAACTGCAGAGAGATTCCATTTGCCTAGATCACCAGTCTATTTCTTGTAAGACCATTAAAGTGAATTATTTAGAAATAGTAGAAAGAAATGAGTAAAGAATGAGGAATAGAATGAGGGAGAATTAGGATATCTTTAATGGCAGGATCTAAACATCTCGGGATCTTGCTTGAGGAATATGAGGTAAATAAAATCTCTGGGAGTACATACAGTGACAGTCGTGTGACTTTAATTTCTGGATTAAATTTCTGAAAATTTTGCCATACGATAATATATAAAGGACTGGCTATATAAAAGGTCTGTTTGAATCCTTTCATAATTATTGCAAAATTGTCAAATGTGAATAATTATCCTGTAATTTATCTGCTTTGAGAATTCAGTGTTTCACATATGTCAGATTTTCTTAAAGCCCGGGCAGGTCAAGAAAAGAGGCAGAATTTTAAAAGATTAGATGATATTTGAACTGGATCTTAAAGGAATCATTATAAGAGAATTTGGGACTAGAGCATTTTCAAAAGAAAAATCTAAATATTTTAGGAATATTGTATTAGAGTAACTTTAATGGCAGAATCTAAGAATCTGTTTAAAATAGAAATATTTTAGAAGGTATTCTAATGGATATACTACAGTACTAAGTGCATCAAATCCTTTGTGGAATAAGAAATGGCATACCCGTTTTTAAATCATAAATTGTTTTTGAAGAAGTTTAGAAGACATTTTGAAGAAAACTGAAGACATTTTTGAGAAATTTAATCCACAATTACTTTATGTAGATAATTCTTAGGAAATATCTCACTTTTTTTTAAAGTTTTATTTATTTAAGTAATCTCTGTAACCTTATGTGGGACTCAAACTCACAGCCCTGAGATCAAAAGTCCCAAGCTCTTCCAACGGAACCAGCCAGATACCCCTAGCCCTTGGTTTTTAATAAATATATTTAAGTAGCTATTTGAGCCGCTTATTAATTTTAACAAACTACAGTGTTTCAGCTAAATATCATAATGATTTACCTTTCACAGAAGTAGAGACTATGACACCTTAGCTTATAGGCTAGAAAATTAAAGTATTAGTATAAAATAATAATAATAATATACATATTTAATGTGTCTTATATTATTATAAGAACTTCATATATATCTCATTTTCTTGAGAGGCCAAAAAGGCGATCACTGTCATTTGTTAAGAAAATGGATATTAAGTGATTTGTGCAAAGATAGTGATAACATAAAAATCATTTTTGAGCATTTTCCATGTACAGAACACTGTGTATCAGCTCTGACCTTCTCAGTAAGTTATGAAGTACCACTTTCTTTTATTGATGGGGAATCCAGGGTTTAGAAAGGTGAAGGAACTTGCTGGATATCAAGTAGCTACTAGGTGTTTGTATCAATTAGGGGTGGCCATAGGAATCCTGCTGCGTAACCAACCACTACAGAATCATAGTCACACAAAGCAGTATATTTACTGAGCTCACGAGTACAGATGCATCGTGGTAGCTCCACTCTGTGTATGTCTCATCCTTCTCCTGGGCAGCATGCCAGTCCAGGCATGAGGTTCTCATGGCAATAATAGAAGCACAAGTGACAAGCCCATTGTGCATTCGCTTTTGCAGCCTTTGGTCACATCATATCAACTACTGTTTCAGGGGCCAAGCAAATCACGTAGCCAAACCCAGTATTAGGGTATGGGACGTATACTCATCTTCAGTGAGCAGAATCACGTAACTGAGGCTATTAATGCAGCCTTCCCCAGTGGATGAGTTAGGGTTTACACTCAGGTGACTCAGCGCTTAGAGCTTGTGATTCTCAACTGGCTTTCTACCCACCTTTTAACATCCTTAAACCTAATTTTCAAAAGTGTTTTGTTTGGTTTACTCAGTGTTTTGCAAACCAAGCTCTTCATTTTTTCTTTCATTTTTTTTCTCTGTGACTGTAGCTATTTAGACGAAACTAGCAAATTTATTCATGGACATCTCTCCACCCTTGATTCTTTTAGGCTCGATTCTGGGTTCAGGTGATGAGGGATTTGCGGAATGGAGTAAAACTTAAGAAGGTCCAAGAGCGACAGTACAACCCTTTGCCCATTGAATATCAGCTCACCCCTTATGAGATGCTAATGGACGATATTCGATCCAAAAGATACACTTTGCGAAAAGTCATGGTAAGTAACAACAACAACAACAACAAAAACTATTAATAGACTGAAATGGTTTTTCTTCAGTAATTTTATTGGTTGAACATGTTCTTCTCAGTGTTACATTTTAAAAATCCTTTCTTCCCTTGGAAGTAATACATTGTCATTACAGAAAATTTGAAAAATACAGTAAGCTCAAAGAAGGAAAGTGACAAATGGGTAATTTCACAACCCAGAGAGATATTTTGTTAACAAGCTGGTATATAACCTTCAGTCTTTTTTTTTTTTTTTTTTAGATTGATTTATTTATTTTAGGGAAAGAGAAGGCAGGCAAGCAGAGGGAGAGAGACTCTCTAGCAAAGCACAGAGCCCGACATGGGCTCAATCTCATGACCCCATAATCATGATCTGAGCTACTACTCAGGCACCCCCAGTCTTTTTTCTATACATTTTATTCAGACAAAATGGATTAATATTGAACACTTTGTTTTGTAACCAGTTATTTTCACTTAACATATGAATATTTTTCCATGTCATTATATGTTCAAAATCTTCATTTCTAAATAACTACCTCTTTTATAGCTTTGTGGCTATACCAGAGCTTATTAAACTAATCAACTTGTATCAAGTTGTAAGCAGTTTATTTTGTGAGTCCTTGCATTTAAATCTTCTTGAATAGCAACAGTGAAATCTTTAAGTTAGGTTCTTAGAAGTGGAATCCTGACAGCACTATGTCTGAAATACACCTGGAATGTAACTGCTTCTTATCACCACCACTTCAGATCCTCTCCATTCCAAGCCACCAGTTCTCGCTCACACTAATACACACTTTAAGTGGCCTTTCTGCTTTCACTTTTGCTCCTTTTACTCAGTTTTCCCCCAAAATAGCCAAAGTAAACCTCTTAAGGTAAAAATGTGATGCTTTCATTGCTCTGCTCAGAACCTTCCAGTGTTCTCCATCACACTGGGAACCAACTCCACATCCCTACCTTGGCCTACAAAACCCCACAGAGTCTGATACAGGTTACATTTGAGAACTCACCTCCTACCACCCTTCCTGGTTGATTTCCCCTCCTTAGCCATGCTGGTCTCTGTTGCTGCCACATGCTCCTACAACTGGGCAGCTCCTTTGCTGCCCCTTTTCCTGGAATTCTCTTTTCCCACACATCTACTAACTTGCCTTATCACTTTCCAGGTCTCTGCTAAAATGTCCCCTTATAAAGTCTTCTCCGCCTCTCTACCCACATGTTTCAAGTGAGTTCACATTGCCATGTATTTTCAGATTTGCTATCTCTCTTACCATTATAGGGACTTAGTTCTTTCACTCTTACATCCCCTGTGACGAGACCATGTGCCTGACACACAGCCAGATGCTGAATACGGTGCCCAACAAATAGTTGTGGAATGAATTAATGAATTATAGCCACATTTTTTGAGAAAATTTTATTAGTTATTTGATGTGGAAGATTCTTACAAAACACATCACTAGTTTAAAAATAGATTTAAGTAGGGGTGCCTGGCAGGCTCAGTCTGAAGAGCATGTGACTCTTGATCTTGGGGTCAGGGTTTTGAGTCCCAGTTGGTTATAGAGATTACTTAAATAAATAAACTTAAAAAATAAAATAGATTTAAGTAGCTCTTTGAGCTCTTTGTTAATTTTAATAAGTTACACTATTGAAGCTAAGCATTGCAGCTAAGTATTTTGTTGATTTACTTCTCAGTAAATCTGATTTCCTTTTACAAATGAAGAAACTGAAGTTTAGAGGTGCTGCATAACTTCCCAAGTTCAGACAACTAGTTATAAGGCAAAGCCTGTTTTCATTTTCATTCTGTCTGACCTCCGAATCTGTGCTGTGTGCTACACGCATGTGGCCAAATTGCCCTTTAGTTATATTGTGATGATTACTATTTACAACATAATCATTTTTTCTATTTCTTCCTATTCTTGACCAAAATGGGTATCTTTTGGGATTGGCAAATTTGAGAGAAAATTCTCCTTCATTTTTAAAATCTATATTTCTTTGATTACAAGTGCATTTAAGCATTTTAAAGCATACACCATTTCTTTTTTGTATTTTTTTTTCCCAAGTGCCAGTCATGTTTTATTGGATGTTAATTCTGAATCAGGATTTGAAAGGATTCAGGGGTGCCAGGCAAAGGTCATGGTCAGGACTGCCACATGTGCCTCCACACTGGGCCCTCTTCAGTGGTACTTGCATAGCCTGAGTTCCTTGTAAAAAGGAAAGTCAAAAGTCCTTGAAAAGCACATAACCTGCCAGCACCATAGAAATCCTAGTGAAGCCCCCTTTCTTCACATTGACATACTTGTAATACCAGTAGTAACCTCTCTGAGATGATCCAGCAGTGCCCTTAGAGGTGAAATCCCGTATCAGTATCCACCTGGGCAGCTCTCCTAGTTTCACATCCATAAGCTTCTTCTTCACTGTACAACTGATGCCCTCTTGGAGTCCTAGGTGTCTGCTCCCTTTTCTTGTATTTTTAATTTTATTTTAATTTAGCAAAATTTTTTAAAGATTTTATTTGTCCGAGAGAGAGAGCGCACAAACAGTGGGGAAGGGCAGAGGGGGAGGGAGAAGCAGACGTCCCACTGAGCAGAGAGCCTCCTTCAGGCCTGGATCCCAGGACCCTGAGATCATGACCTGAGCCAAAGGCAGATGCTTGAACGACTGAGCCACCTGGATGCCCCTAATTTAACAAATATTTATTGAGCACTTCTTGTGTGCCAGGCACTATTCTAGACCCTGGAAAAAGGACCCTCAGTCCTTATTCTCAGGAAGTTCACAGTATGGTGGAGCCGCTGGTAATTAGGCAAGCATTAACAATAGCGTAATAAGCTAAGTGTAAGCGGCTATATGCCAGAAAACAATGTGCAAAGTCCAGGAAGTAATGGGATCTGACTCAAGAAAGCAACTGAAGTTCTCCATAATTAAAGACCTTTTCACTCTGTAATTCCTGTGAAGAATGAATGTCGATGATTTCTTTTTTAAATAACTTCACAGTTATTTCCTAGTGCACTGTGAATTATTTACCTGAGACTCTATTAATAGACATTTAGATTGTGTCCAGTTTTCATTGTTTTAATTAGTTTTCTGATCCTCATACAGACATCTCATCTAATTATCTCCTTGGTTTCAGTTTCTGTTGGTGAGATGAATAGATCAAGAATTATGCACATTTTAAATTTTAATACATGTTGCCAAATCTTCTCCAGAAGAACTGTACCAATTTATACTTCGTTTGTTTGTTTGGTTGGTTTTATTTTTTTTCCAATTTATACTTTTACTAACAATGCAAGATAATTTCTGTTGCCAATACTTGGCAATGCTGTCTTTTTTAAAAAATGTCTACCCATCTGAACTTGAGTGGGGACACTTAACAGTAATCACAGGTGATTTTCTTCCTTATCCTGAAGAAATTATTCAGAAATTCATACTATTGATTAAAATAAGTAAATGTTGGGATGCCTGGGTGGCTTAGTGGGTTAAGCCGCTGCCTTTAGCTCAGGTCATGATCCCAGGTTCTTGGGATCGAGCCCCGCATCGGGCTCTCTGCTCAGCAGGGATCCTGCTCCCCACCCCAGCCTGCCTCTCTGCCTACTTGTGATCTCTCCCTCTCTCTGTCAAATAAATAAATAAAATCTTTTAATAAAAAATTAAAATAAAATAAGTAAATGTTGCTTCTGCTTAATAGATTAACATTTCTAACTAAAGTCTTCTACCTGTCACCACATATAGCTAAATCATTTTATTTTTCATCAGAAAAAATAATTGTGCTAAAAAGTAGTTAAACTTATCTGATATTAAGAATTAATGGGATAGGGGCTTCTGAGTAGCTCAGTCTGTTGGGTATCTGCCTTCAGCTCAGGTCATGATCCCAAGGTCCTAGCATTGAGCCCCACCTTGGGCTCCCTGCTCAGTGGGGAGTCGGCTTTTCCCTCTCCCTCTACCCCTCCCCTCATTCACTCTCTCTCTTTCTCTCCCTCTCTCTCTCTCTCTCTCAAATATGTAAATCTTTTTTAAAAAGAATTATATGGGATGGATTCCTCTTATAGATGCTGATTTAACAGGTCTCAGCTGTTATATATTAGGTGAGGCTTAAGATCATGCATTTGGAAAATAATTTTGATTATACATAGACACAATGGCAAAGAACTGTGCATCCAAGTTGGAAAGTATTTATCAACATAAATAGTTATTCTTCTGTGCTAAATGAAAGGTTTTTAGAGAGTCTGGTTTTTTATTCTTTCTTTCATTCTCATTCATTTTAAGGTAAAATTCGTATTAAATTACCTATTTTAAAGTGTATTTATAGTTCAGTGGCAACAGTGTTGTGCAACCTCTGTCTCTGTGTAGTTCCAAAATAATTTCATCACCTCCAAAAGAAATCCTGTAGTCATGAAGCAATCACTCCTAATCTACCATCCCCTGAGTCCCTGGCAACTACTATTCTACTTTCCGTCTCAATGGCTCTACCTATTCTGGATATTTTATATAAATGGAATCATATAGTATGTAACCTTTTGTGTCTGGCTTCTTTCATTTAGTATGTTTTCTAGGATCATCCATATTGTCGCATGTAGGAGTACTGTTCTTATAGTGGAATAACATTATATTCTATTATGTGCAGATACCATATCTGTTTATCCATTCATCACATGATGAATATTTGGGTTCTTTCCACCTTTTCACAATTGTGAATAGTGCTGCTGTGAACAATCATGTATGTGTTTTTGTTTGAATACTTGTTTTCAATTATTTGGGGTAGATACCTAAGAGTGGAATGGTTGGACCATGTAACAATTCTAAGTTTAACTTATTGTGGAACCAACAAACTGCTTTCCACACCACTTGCAACATTTTATGTTCCTTTCAGTGTATGAGTTTCAGTTTCTCCATATTCTTGCCAACAGTTGTTATTGTCCATTTTTGTTTTTAATTATACCTACTGTAGTGAGTATGAGGTGAAATCTCATTGTGGTTTTGATTTGCATTTCCTTAATGACTAAT